CGTTTCGCTGGTTCAAATACAGGATTCCCTTTCTTTTTTGCTTGGGGGTTGTGGTTCCTGCATAGAGTTTTATTCGCGCCGAAAATAAACATTCGGTAGTTGTGCTAAGGGGTTGCAATGACAACCCAAGCGTCATTGATGTACGGGAAGCAGCCCTCCGACTCCCGAGAATACCCCGAAACGACCGCCTTAAATCGTGGTTTGGAGGACTCCCAGATAATACCACCCTGGAGGGGATAATGAAAGTAATGCTGCTAGGCATTGTCCCCCTTGTTGTGCTCTAGAATTATTTAGGGGGGGTTCGATAAGGGGTTCACAACGCAGAGTTAGGGATTGCTGTCTCTTTGACAATTGTGCCTGCTACTGGTATGGTGACAAATAAGGATTTCGCAGCTATATTTGTTGCAACGTGGGCTAGGGTGAGATACTACTAATTTACCTCAGCAAGATAATCCACAATCCTAGCTTAACTAATAGAATTTTAAGCGTACTGCGGAGGCTATTTCGTATACAGTTGTGTCTTATAGGTTCTGGCATGGCTATCATACTGGCAGCCGCACTACATACCAATCCAAAGTAATTGACAATATTATAAATTTATAAATAATAATTCCGTAAGATAATGGGTGAGCTCGAGTAATCCTGCTATCAAACGCACCTCAGCAGAGTTGTCAACGTTCTAAAGCGTGTGCAGGGGACAAACGTGAACTAACTGAAATAATCTGTGAGAAAATAATAAGGTAACATTATAATGCCTCGGAAATACTTTTTCTATTTTGTTTGGAGTGTTTTGACTCCTTGAACTTTGCTCGATGAGGTTGATGATAATGTAATGTTCCAGATGTGATGGACCAAGACATTGCGGTACGGGAGCAGATCTTTGATTTGGGGGCCAACTAGGGGGTGGGGGAGATACCGGTATACTTCCCTTTGTTGTGTATCGTACCTCGAGCATGGTGGTGATACTTCTTACCACCAACCGACGAAAGCTCTAACGTTAATGCCGATCCCAAACAACCAGACCCCTTCGCACGCTTTCATGCACTTGGGCCAACAGCATTGCTAGCCGGTGCGGCGCGAGGGATAGTCTTGGTGGCAAAATAGCATAAAAATCCCCTAACACCGGTACCGCGCCCGATCCTCCCCAAACAACTCCGAGCTAGGTCACGGCGGTCTTTCCAGAATCTCCTTCTGAACCAGAAGCGTGTGGACCCGAAAACAAGCGAAGGGATAGCGGTAGCAATTGCGATCGACCAGCCACCGCTACCGGCACTGTGGCGAAATACTGTACTCATAGTAGAAGCCTAAAGTTTGACTATAGTTGGGGTGTGGCAGAATGCACCGACCAATCGGACCCGATATCCGAATTTCTCACGATCGTGAGATGCGGTTGTCTAAGTCCTTGTCAATCCCGATTCTAATACCGGTAACGGGATTGTACGGAGGCACGTACCCGAGTACAAGGTACCGCTACTATATCAGTATTGTAGAAGCCCACGCAAGAATCTTGTTGGAAAATAAATGCAACTGCCGGTAACAGATTTTTGTTCCCAATTCTGCTACCTACCACTCAATCGGGTTAGAGATCGCCATCCTCTCTACCAGAAAGAGAAAAACATTTCCCAGGGTCGTTACTGTACGAGTAATACCACTACTACGATACGAGTGTCATATCCCACGTTCTATCCTAGCGCTTGCAGAGTTAGGAAACGAAGACTCATCTCAGTAGCGCCGGTCCTTCGAGAGCGTGATAGGGAAGATGTCACTATGATGGCAACGACCTTGGTACGTGTTGTAAGGAACGCATTCTTCCGCAGTATACAGTACCGGTATTACAGCAACACACCGCAGCGCTTTGTCCGTTTGTACCAGTACTGAATACTCGAGTAGTTGCCCCGGTGTGCCCCCCCTCTCGCGCGCGCTGATTCACTGGGTTTTCCGCGAGCCATGTTTATCGTCGCGTCGAAACATGATCTCCCTCGCCGGCTGCGGTGGGGATGTGCTTGTAAAGCTTGTGTGAGAAGCAACTCCAAGCAAGCAACAGCCACCCCCTCCGCTGGAGAGTGGTGTGGAGTGGAACGTGAATTGGTGGGAGACGTCATGGGAGACGTCAATCTTTTGCCATCCCACAAGCAAGGGGAGTGAGTGAGGGCAACTGAATCGGGGCCCATTACTTCCAATCCCTAATGAGATCTTCTACCAAGTTAATGAGTCTTTGGGATGACGTCGGGCTCGGAGTCCCTAGGGGCAGGAGATGTGTGCTCGAATGTCCGAGTCAAGAATGGGCACCCGTTTGCCCGAGATGAGCCTGTATCATACAAGTACCGGTAGTAGTTGTTCCAAAAATTGCGCCAAGAATTGACGCGGGGAACGCAACTAGATTTGTCTATATAAACTGGAAGTTCGTTCGTTCGTTGGTTGAGGAAGAACCGATTCGATAGTGAGTGGGATTTCAACCTCTACTATTTACTACCTTACAAAACGAAAAACAGCCAATCTACCAAATTAGAGTTTGAAATGGACTCCGCCAGCGATCAGAAGAACCTGGGTAATGTCATCGGTGGACACAAGGCCAACCTCCACAATCCCAGTAATACCCACTCCCATCTCTTCCACTTTCCCCAGGGCGCTGGTCGCTAACGGCTGTTCTAGATACCTCCCCAGAGGCCAAGCAGCACTCCAGGCAAGTTCTCGAGGAGCTCGGTTTTGAGACCACAAGCTATACCAGCGGTCCCAGCGTCCCAGAGGTGAACATCGAGGGAAAGAATCCTGGAAACGTTGCTGGCGGTTACAAGGCGTAAGTTTACCCATTTGTCATTTCTAAAGGCCGGATGGCCGGTTAGCTGATGATGCTAGCACCTTGCACAATCCCAATGTTTCCGAGGAGGCAAAGGACCGTGCTCAGGAGAAGTTGGAGCAGATGGGAGCTAAATAAGCGGGCTGGGGTTTTGGAGTGTTAGGATCGTGGGGGGTATAGGTCTTGTAATATTAGCATCGGTATTGCTTGCAAATGCGTCGGTGGGCGATACTATGATACTCTGACGCTGGGCCTGATGGCAGGTGATTTTCATACGTGAAAGGCCAGTATCAACACGGTACCTTTTGGTGGACCTACCACGTAACCGGTGCTGATTCGGTTGTTTTGCATGGAACAAGTCAATAGCCTTATTCGAACTCCCTCCCTATGACAAGATCCCCCACCAACCCTAAATCATCGATGCTATACGAGTAAACGGGTCAGGAAACACGTCTAAGCTAAACCATACCAGTATCCAACCTGTTACACACCTATATTGTTTTGTTTCGACCAGTGTTGTGATATGGCGGGAGGTAGCTGGGGCATCCTGATAACCTTGAGTGAATGTCTGGAATGGAACATGGTAGATGGAATGGGATATCCGGTATGGGATGCCCGGTATGGAATAAAAGGTATGAAATGGGATGAATGGAATGCGATAGATCAAACGGATCTATGAACATATTTGAGGTTGGGTTCTTTGTATTATATAGAGATATGGTCCGCTGGGATCGCTGGAGAAAAATATAAGGTCTCTAAGAAAAAAAGTTAATCACGCCTCTCACTCTTATACTCCTCAAATCTCGCTTCAAAATACTCTTTATTACTTCAACCAGCCATCCACAATCCACGAGTGATTCCACATGAGGAAGGATAGAGCATTCAACGTTGAGCTTGTGACTGTGCTCGAAAGTCAGACGCAATATCCTAAACACCACTATCATAAGCCATGAGTACCATATCGTAGTATTCTTTCTTTTATGCACTCATCAACGCAGGGGTGCCTAACGGCCTTCAAGCATAGAGCTGCAATCCGCAGCCCCCTCCGAATCTAGTCTTTCCCATACCCCCAAGCCTTCCTTTTCTTCATCACTAATATCCCGACTGTGGCTAATCGACACAAAGGAATTTTTTTGTTGCTGATATCAATAATGGGTGTTTGTAATATCCCTTCTCTTGAAGATGCGTCTGCCGCAATAATGAAGCCAATGTTTAATAATATGATATTTAACCTTAGGATCAAGGGCCCATGTCCCTCTGTCGGCAAGACAAGTATTCGTCCCATGGTAACATTACACGAAATACCCAGCTGGCGCGGAGGGGATGTTAGGAACTAACCAATCCCTGTGCAACTAGCAGGAGCTCAGTCTTCCCCGATAAAACTCGAGGGCAAAATCGGCCCTAGTACGATATGTAGAATCTGGGTCTGGGCCATATACCTTGGAGCCAGGTTTGGTATCACTGGGATAGCAGAAAGGGTGGCTGACAAAAATATTTTCTCTCGTTTTGCCCCCTTGGATCCGGAAAAGCAACTCCGAACACAAGCTCTGGGTATTGTCCAGATTCTCCGGCATTGAGGTGACTGAATTCGTATCTTTTACATTATGCGCTTCCAAGCCCCTAAAAGAAAAGCCACAGATAGACACCATTATGAGCAATACCAGCATTACCAACAACATGTTGGAAGACATCACAATCGAAGAATTTGATTTACATTACAAGTACCCATCCCCCCCCCCCCTAATGAGGGGAAGAAGAAGAAAAGTTAATGGAGCCCCGGGAATAAAAAGAACAAGTTTCCAAGGTCCCCTCCCCCTCGTCCAATCCGCGCAACTGACCTCCCCCACGAACGCTCCGGCCGAATTGCCAACACCCCAAGCGCATGTATCCCCCTCTCCACTCTCTCCACTTCCGTGAGCTGTTGGAGCAAAACTGGTTCGGCGGCATCAGCCGGGACTTTGTCCACCAACTTTCCTCCTGGTCCACTCGCGCGCCACTAATGCAATGCTCGGAAGGGAAAATGAAAGCCGCAGGTGAGGATAAGAGAGGACACAACGGGTGGCTATACCAAGGGGTTTGTAGATGCCATGTTTGGCGGGGGGAGAGAGAGGTGATACTGCCAGTATGGGTGGGGTTGCGGAATATATGGTGAGATTGGAAACACAATTTAATATGATTACAAAGTTTAGCCTGGAAGTATTCTGCCTGGTTAGCTCAGTGGTAGAGCGTGTGGCTTTTAACCTCAATGTCGCGGGTTCGACCCCCGCATCAGGCTTGCTGGTTTCCCTCCCTGAGGGATGGGCTTTTTTGGAACTTTTTTTCCGCCCTCCAAAGATATTTATCCCCACTTTTTTTTAATGGGTTTGTTGAGATTTCGTTCTCCTATTTTCTGCTCACGACTTTATGGAAGGTTCATATTATTGTATTCTTCCCCAAGATTCAACAATTGAAACCCCAATCAAGGGTAACACATACAAGAGTTATTTCTAAAAATGATCCACCCATCCCCGCTCATAGTGCTATAGTAACATAAAAACCAAGTATTTTCGAGTGATAGGTTATGCTTATACTCCCAAACATGATTACTCTACCCGTCATCAATCTGGATCGCAATTTAAATCCAAATAACTTACAAGAAACATATTGATGAAGAAAATCCAGCACGCTAAATAAAAATAAAAATCACGACTGCATATACCGACATCATCTAAATCCTCTAGTGTCTCCCTCAAAGCCACCCCAAATGTATAAATCTTTCCGAAAATGTGCAGTTAACCCACTACACCACCTTCAGAAGTGATCTATGGACCCCACTCGAGAAAGAACCAATCACTCAATTCAGGCACCTCACCATGGAACCTAGGCCTCATGCTACGGGCACCCGCACTCAAAGCTCGGTTGGTGCCCATTTCGACCTCTTCCTAATCCTCGCGCCAAAAATGAAGAATCCAATAGGGATAGGTATCATAACGACGGCTATAAATCCTAACAACGAGCCGGCCCAGTTGACTCCGAGATTGTGGAACATTTGGCGACCAAAAAGCGGGAACCCAGCGGCGAACGAGGAGCGGAGGAACGTATTTGCGGCAATCGCGGAAGCAGCGCTAGAGTGCTATTACTATGGGAAATTGGATGGGCGGATAGGATAAGATGCACTTACAACATGAGGTATGCATCGATAAGGTAATTTATGGATTGCAGGAAGATGGTTATCAGGCCAATGCCCAGTGGGATACCGGCGAGGGTTGGAACCGCCCAGTGGATATCGGGGTAGTTGCCTCTTGAAATGCTTGTCAGCATAAGGTAGAAAATCCATACAGGGCATATAAATCCGGGAATCTCACGTCCAGGAAAACCAGAAAATCCCGATGGGGAAGAGGATGCTCCCGATGATGGCCGGAACCAAGCGATCTTCGGGAATTGGTACATTGTTATTCGCCTTCATCCGCTTGTTTGTCCATGGCTGGAAAGCTATTACTAGAAATCCCCCCAAGAACATCCCGATGACCATCCCAAGATACGGCAGTGCGGACACCCCAAGTCCGTAACCACGGATCTCGCCGAAAACAATTGGGTAGGCTGTCAAGAAAATGTAAAGGATACCGCTGTGGAGCATATATTAGTAAATAATCGCCTGTCGGAAAAATACCGCAATAGTTACTAGACAAAAGCAGTGTACAGACTGAGCAGGAATATAATGGGCTCAGTAAAGAGAAGTTTGAGTGGACGCGCAAAGTTCTTTTCAACCAACTCCTTGAAATCAATTTCGATCTCTTCCTGCCTCGCGTGGATTCCCCAATTCTTTGTCAGGTGGCGAAGTTCGGTGGCTTTCGATACTAGGATCACAGGTGGATATGTCTCCTCCAAAAAGAACAGGCACAAGAAGAGTGCAAAGAACCCCATGATTGCCGTAATGTATTCCGTCCATCTCCACTATCAATTTACCCCTTGATTAGCAACAAAGGCATAATGAGTGTGAAAGATGCCTGCAAGACACTTACGCCCAAGTAACTCTCAGTGATAAACCCACCCGCAATAGGAGCGTATAACGGTCCTGAGAACACCGCCATAGAGAAAACAGCGATTGCGGTTCCCCTAGTCTCCTGACTGAAGATGTCCGCGAACACGGCGCCGACAACCGCCAACGGAGAGGAAGCAAAAAATCCACCCCAAAATCGGCATATCAGAACTGTCTGGGCATCCCTGGCCACCGCGACGGCAATTTGAAAGATCGAAAACCCAAAGATCCCGAGTAACAGTGGAGGCCGCCGGCCCTTGAGCTCGGAGTAGGGTGCCCATATCAGAGGCCCACTTGCGAATCCAAGCACATAAAAGGAGATCCCCAAGATGGCTACTTCGCCACTTATTCCGAAGAATACTAGAGTTGAAGTCAACATCCGTACTGCATTTGGCAGCGATAACTATGTCAAGGGTATGCCATTGGCACTCACCGGCAACCTCTGCTGTAGCGGAAGAAAATACACTACTCCCCCACGCTGACACCAGCGTAGTATATCCCAGAACAGTCGCAGTTATCAACCTAAACCCAATCAATGGAAATCCCTGTGAATTCTAGTTCATCACAACACACACTTCTTTTTCAAGGGCCAATTTTGGCCATGCACAGGATCATCACAGCCAGAAAAATCCACCAGATACCGATCCCGATGGGGCAGAGGAGGAGGATATTCCCTTCCGCCCCCAAAGGGCGGGAGCTCGCCTTTTGAAGTGAACCCCACAAGAGCACGTCCGAGAGTGTTGCTGTGATCAGAAAAGCGCGTCCTCTCTCGTTCAACCTCAGTCGGGTGACAATCCGTTTCTCGTTGCGCGCCCTGCCGACTCAATATTGAACTACTCTCCGACGAGGAGGATATCTCTGAAGAATGTGGACTAGAGTTATCTCCATGATGTAATTGACGGGAGGCCTGTCTTTCCGCCTTTCCAATATCGAGGGAAACGTCGCTTGGGCCCCACATGGTTGCTCGCCCGTTCGTTCGTTCCCCAATATATGTTAGCTTTCACCTCACTCGAAACCCAATTTCTCTCCGGAAAGTAAGAATTACGAGTAATTAAAAGAGGAGATTGGGAGCAAAAATTGACGAGCACAGACTTATGATGACGAGTTAGACCAAGCATAAAGGTCAAATGATGCCATCCTGCCGTAATTCCGAGGTTGGTACCAGATATAGTACTCGAGTACTGAAGGGTGGGAACATCTCCCGCGTTCCTTAGCAAATAATTTAGTAAAGCTGGGGAAAGATTATAACCAGAAAGAGGTTAATATATCGGTACACCTGATGGGGCAGATTATATTAAAATAGTAACACGAGCTTTTAGGCCCTTGTCAGAGAGACGGAGAAGGGAGCATCCGCACTCTTTCGCTCCTTCCAGAATTGGAAGGTTCCCGACTCCAGCAGGACATGGCAATATTAGTTCGCGGGCCACAATGCTCGCGTGAGTACTGTACAGTACCACCATAGCCCCATTGGACCCTTAGTAGGCTGAAGTTCACTGAAGGAATTCTGATAGAAAATTCGCCATCGTTCTCTGCTAGAACTGAGGTAGATATTCCTGGTTATTGACAAAAGCTAAAGATTCTAGAGCAGAGCACCGCACTAACTTTACACCGCTTCACAATCACTCGCTAAGACAGTCACTTGTATCGAAAACCAAACCTCACGATTATCGAGTTAATGCCCGGAAGGATCACTGCTAAAAAGATCTATATAGGAGCTCCCGGATGAAATCGGGTTGCACCGTGCGGTAATGATCGCTCAGCTCCATATATCTAAATTTACCTCGGCAGGATTCGTCTCAAAAATTATGAAAACTTTTATGAAGCTTGCATGAAGCAGATTCTCCCCGAGCAAGAAAGCCACCATATGACAAGAAAAAGCGAAGGGGTAAAAGGCCCTTCTAACAATCTTTTTTTTTTTTTTTTTCCCAATCACCCGAACAGGAAGCTGCCAATCAGCCGGATCTCGGCACCAACCGAAACCCCTATGAGCCGCTTGCGGCACAGTTAGCGGGAGCCGAGGCAGTCACAACTATCAGTTTTTCTTCTGTTCATAACATTGTACGGGGGAGGGAGCGGACAGCGGGGGACAGCGAACAAATACAGTACTCGAGTAGGGTACTACACACCGAGAATAAAGTGGCAAAGATCATATTTGTGGGGCCGCCCGCTGCGCTATACCTGCTACCCGTTGCCCCTACTGCCCGTTACTTCACCTGAAGAAAAATAAAGACGTGGAAAAAAAATGTTCAGCAGCAGACGGAAATAGAGCTTCCCCAGATTCCTAATTTGGTTCCCGAAAGGTAAATTCCAGGTTAGTCAAGACAGAAGTGCCATTCCCTTAGGGGCACAACCAGGGGAGTTGGGCAAGACGGATTTATTTCATTCTCCTCCTCTCCCCTTAGGACCAGAGTTTCTAAGATTCTTGAGAACACAGACCCATCCTTGCGTGGATATTGCCAGAACAGCCCTGGGAGCCCCTGGACCGTTCTGAGCTTAAAAAATTTCCTTTAAACAACCCTAAACTAGACTCGCGCAGAGCGGAGAATCTAACCCACGGATGCCTTGCCTCCTGTTGATTGTATAATGCGTCTCGATATGAGACCGAATACATGGTCTATGAACCGGGCATATGATAGAGTCCTGAGTATTGGTACCGGATGACTACCGTTACCTAGGCGGAAGGCAGGTGATTGCACCCGGATATACCGTGGATAGTCTATAGGTATATATCCTCCCTGTGTTTCTCATACGGTAGGCCAGTGTTGTAAGCAATGTGGAAGATACTCTACTCAAGTACAAGGTTCGGCAAGAGATTACGGAACAGCTGTGGTGAGGTTAATCAACCAAACATATCCCGGTAAATGTGTTCCTTGCCCTGTAATTTGCCCCGTTGCCGTGATATAGCCAGATTTCAGAACAAGCTTTGCAGGCAGAAAACAAAGGGTGCAGCCCTAAGCTCGAATCATCAAACGCAACTCGCATATTCCTAGCTTGAGAATCGTTTACAAAGTTTCAATGGCTAGTCGGCATATCTAGAAGACACTCTACCTTTACCACTAGCCACGAAAGAAGAGGCAATGTTTATTCGAGTCATTGATATGCGATACAAGCCACTTATCCTAAAGGCACTTCGCACCTCAATTTAACCAGTGTTGGCCAAGGCCCAAATTAACAAGAATCCGGAATTGAAAGGAGAGCGGAGATGACCACAGCCCAGCAAGTACGTTATACGGTTATGAGGTGTGAGGGATGATAAT